CTACACTACACTACACTACACTACACTACACTACACTACACTACACTACACTACACTACACTACACTACACTACACTACACTACACTACACACACGCACACACACACACACACACACACGCACACACATGACAGGGATAGCATTTCTAACCTTCGTCGCATCTTTTTCACGTGCTTGCAGGATGCATACAAGGACTGGATGTGTAGCATGATGCTACCCTACAGACTGGACACGATGCTGATCAAACCATGCTATTACTTCTGCGAGGTAGTCGAGCAACGATGTCCCTATTTTCTTCCTCATCTTATCTACGCAGGAGAACCGGCCTTTTTATGCATAGGTAAGCAGTGTGCGTGCGTGCGTGCGTGCGTGCGTGCGTGCGAGGTGCGTGCGTGGATGATAATTAATGGGCGTCGCTAATTATTAATCATCTAAGATTAATTATTCTCTTTAGCAGAGGGGGATGGCATGCTGTGATTTTGGGTACGCGCGCTGTAGTGGGATGTTAGGGATCGTGTCACGATGATGACTGATCAGGGGGTCCCCACTCCCTATCCACCCACCCAATTCACCAACCCATGCAGCCAATTACTACTTACTTACTTCTTACTTACTAGTATGATTTATTCTCGCAGACAAGTGTGATTGGTACACAATGTTGGTATCAGGGATAAAATCTTCATTCATTCAGATTAAAGGAAAATTTTGAACATAAGACACATAAGTTTGTGACGCTGGTCTGTATAGTTAAGGAGGAAATTGCTGACAATATGGATAGGCCTCGCGGTTGGAATTGATGTTAGAGTTAGCAGGAAGATAACAAATTGTTCATAAGGCTAGGCGCAATGCTGGAATCCACATTAGGAATACTGTACCATTAGGGCATACTAGCTTTACCATGGGGGTTAGAGTTATTGTTGGGATTCGTATTACGGTTAGGAGTATGATTTGGGCTATTTGGTGACCACCATGGGGGTTAGAGTTATGGCTGGTATTCATATGACCGGGAGTATGATTATAGCTACGGTTGGTTAGTCTTTTATGCGTGTGCGCGTGTATGCGTGAGTGTATATGCGTGTGCGCGTGTATGCGTGAGTGTATATGCGTGTGCGCGTGTATGCGTGAGTGTATGCGTTTGTGCGTGTATATGGGAGTGTACCTATGCGTTCGCGCGTGCGCACGTGCGTGTATTGTGCGTTTGTGCGTGTATGTATAGGTGAGCGTATGCGTTCGCGCGCGCGCACGTGCCTGCATGCTCGCTGTTTGCGTACTTGAGTGTTTGTGTACGTACCCGTCTGCATGCTTGTGTGCGTACGCGAGTGCGTGTGTGGATTTACCTGAATTTAACAAGTTTACAGCATTTATATAGCGGCAGCGTATCGTTATCAGGAGCATATCAAATAGGACATCGTGCATATGTTTGCTAAACTGCTTATTGGCTACCAGGCAGTGGTGTTTTCCTTTCCGAGCCAGCAACCTGTTGTTAGCCGTTCTGCTTGCTTTCATACAACTGTTGCTACTTAACGCTTACATACCTGTCTGTGTGTGTGTGTGCCTACCTGCTTTCATAGTACCGCATAATAATACCTGGCTAATATATATATATATATGTATATTTATTATTATATATAATATATTATATATATATATATAATATGCGTGCCTGCTCACATGATATTCGTGCAATACCGTACCTGCTTTCTTGCTTACGATGTTAAACTTACATACCCGTGCGGATATGTCCGCCTAATCTCATATACTACTGTAAAATTATGTGCCTGTCTGCGATTATGTTATTGTACCACCACATGCCTTTCTGCTCTCATATTACTGTACTATATAACGCACGAACCTGCTCTCGTGTTATCGTACGATAACATCCTATTTTTTTCAACAATAGATAATTCATGGTGCATTCATGTCTCATGAATGCATGACAGCGTAAAATTGAAAAGAGGAAATTACCCGTTAGAGAAATAACTAAACCAGACGTTCAGTCAGAATGAATGAATTCATGGCTGTCGTGATTTGCAAGTGAAATACAACTACCTAGAAATGACGCTACATATAGCATTACATCACTTCAGTGCAACTGGTCATGAAATCTTATTAAATTAACGTTGGCAGTTACGAATCCGAATACGCGACCCTGGGTTTTATCTTACGTGTCATCAAAGCTTTCCCAAAATAAAAGTTGGCCTATAGGGAATGAAATTAGTGAAGGCATATATGACACACCGGAAATTGTATGCGAGTGTTGGATTGATTGAAGAGTACAGTCGTAACAACACAGCAAAACATAACAACGCAATACAAATCAGTATAACACAACACAACACAACATAACACAGCACGACACAGTATAACACAACGCAACATAACACAGCACGACACAGTACAACACAACGCAACACAACACAACACAACACAGTACAATACAACGCAGCGCAACGTAACACGGCGCGACACTACACTACACTACACTACACTACACTACACTACACTACACTACACTACACTACACTACACTACACTACACTACACTACACTACACTACACT